GCAGATCAGTCGCCGGCCTCCGGATGGCCGCTCACGGCGGCTCTTGGCAGCTCACATCGGCTGCTGGCCACTCGCGCTGGCTGCCGGCCACACGTGGTAGCTTATGGCAGCCCACTGCAGCAGGAGCTGCAGCCTACGCCGTTGCCGGCAACTCTCCTCAGCCCAGCTCCAGGTTGAGCTGTTGTTCACTATCTTAGCTGTAGAGGGTGCAACGTCACTGGCCCTCATGTGGGATCCGAACCGGGGCCCTGCTGCTCAGAGCTGGTTTCCCAAGCCAGCTCTTAACCAACGCGCCACTCAGCCGGCCCCAATACAGGTTTGATTCAGGCTTAGATTCCAGAGTCATCAGCACATAGATAATGAAGTTCAAGTGAAGGGTGTGGAAGTCACCCAGGGAAACTATGGGCATATACATGAGAAAGCTGAAGTCAGAGGACTGGGGGAGACCAGCTTTGGATGGCTGGTCCAAAGAAGAGGAATCAGCTAAAGTAATAAAGAATGGAGTGATCTGGGAGGAAAACAGGATGAGGAGCGATGCATTTGGGAGCAAGAGAAATTTCAAGGAGTGGCTAGTGCCACTAAGTCAAGCAAAGGACAAACCTGTTTCCTTGGCTTTGGCAATCAGAGGTCATTAATTATCTTACAAAGTCTCAGTGGATTGGGGGTAGCTGGAGCCAGGGATGAATGGGAAGTGAGGAAATACAGGCAGCAAGAGTTGACTATCTTAAGAAGTTTGGCTCTAGTAAGTCAGACAATAGGTGAGTAACTCAACAGTTATGAGGGATGTAAGGAGGGTGTCTTCAAGCAGAGGGCAGAGGGGACAGAGCCATGCCAAAGGAACCCAGGCCAGGCCTCTTGAGAAGCCCCAAGAATAGGAAAGCCTCAGCGTGTACAACTTGTACACGCTGAAGCAGTCTCCGAGATAAAGCCGAAATCAAATCCCTAAACAATTACCAACAAAACTTAGCTCTTCAATAGAAGACCTCCCCCTTAAACTACAGCTCATGGATTTCAAAAAAGTCTTGGGTTCAATAAATTGAAGTCCAGGCAATGAAAGTGTTCAGACCTTGGCATTATCATGAACTTGGACTTGTGTGTGCTGAAGAAAGAGAGCAAATATAGATCAATTATTAACATAGGGGATCTGAGAGAACACATAAGAGTCATTTCAGGTAGGAAGACTATATTAGCAGTTAGACATGTTTTTGGGGGCGTTATCTCAGGGAAAACGGTAGGGAGAGATGAAAAATGGAAGAGGTGACTAACTTTCATTGAACATCCATTATGAGTTCAGGCTCTCTTCAACATTACCTCATTTAATTGTGACAATGATCCTGTTCGAAAGTAGTATTGTTCCCATTTTTCAGGTGAAGTCACCAAGACAGAAAGCAGCTGATATGTTGGTAGGTGGTATGAGAGTCACAAGGGCAGATGTCAGAGGTCAGAGGTCACAGTGTCCCCTCCCCACCCAAACTTACACCCCAGTTGTTAACAACTGAGCAAACCCAGGCAAAAAGCATCTTTTTAAATCTCTGCTTCAGTTGCCAGCAAAAGGAAACTCACCCAGAAACCCTCTAAATCTTGGTAGAGCACATTAAAATGAGATTTGTTGGACTTCGTACAAAAGTAGAGCCCAGGAAAAACCACATGACTTCATTCTGTCATATTTCAAGTATTTATTAGGTGTCTGTGATGCGTCAGGCATTGTGCAAACCGCTGTTGCTTGTCCAAAGTCATAAATGCAGTATGTATCAGAGTCAGGATTAAACTCAAGCCTTTCTGATGTCACAATCTGGGCATTTTCCCCACGTCCATGATTTTCAAACATCTTAGAAACAAAATCTTACAAGGAATTCCAATATGAGGATCACACAGATGGAAAACCATGTCATGCCTGTTTTATTTTGTCACATGATTTGTGACAAATGCAGATGTCCATGTGTAACCCAAAATTATATCAAGATAGAGGGCATTACCATCACCCCAGAAAACTCCCTCTGGGCCCTTCCCAGTCACTCCCTTCCTCCAGCTCCCAAGAGACTACAACTCTTCAGACTTTTTCACCTTCATCTGTGCTGCGTTCAATCTGTTGTGATATTATGTATCACGTCAACTGTGGAAAACACTGAACATTTATGAGGGTAGAGTGAAAAGGCAAATGACATCTTGGTGTTACTATAAAAATAGTTTTAACTTTGCAGAGGCCAGGGAGCCCCAGGTAACATTCTGAGAATCCTTGCTCTAGGGATTACAATATTTTGGGTTTTAAAAAATGTGAATAGACGATGCTTTTTTGTCTTTTCGAGGCACCCTCTGTAGAGCAAGCCTCATCATTCCAGTGAGCACATCAAACCTACATGCACAGCAGCCATCAAAGCTAACTTCAGTCCTCAGTGCCCTCAGGAAAGGGACCCTGCTGGGCCCCTTTGGGTAGTGCCCACCCAGTGGCTCTTACGGCATTGTATGTGAAGGAAAACGGTGTCCATATGGGCAGGCTGGCGCTGGCCTCCTGGCCCCCCATGGTGCTCTATCATCTGAGGACTCCTTCTCCACCTGGCCCTCCAGGTGGGGTCCTCTGTTTTCCAGCCTCACTCTCTTCTTCGGCACTCGACTATGCCGTTCACCCCAGATGACCCTCATTTAATCTTTCTAGGCTTGGAGGACAGAATCACCTGCCTCACTCATCAGTCTCTTTCCAATGTTTAGGGCATAAACTCTATATTCTACTTTCCTCTGCTCTCCTTTGCTTCTTAAGGGTTTAGTTTGAAAGTTAAAAAAAGATAAACTTTCTTTCTCTTTGAACATCAGGGGTTTAACAACCCTAATTTCCATCAGGCAGATGCAGACTTTGATCCTCTTCTCTTAAAATTCTGTTTACTGTCTGTCATCATCACCCACTCCCACACCCCTCTCCCCACACACAAAAAAAACCTCCAGGAAAATGGGGACCATGTCTGTCTTCTTGTTCACCATGGTACCCCACCTCCTAGGACAGTGGCTCGCACTCTACAAGCAAATGATACATTGTGAACTGAATTATCTTATTTTATTTTTTTAAAGATTTTATTGGGGAATTAGGGGAGGGAACAGTGTTGGGGAATCGGGGAAGGAGAACAGACAAGTTGATGTCCTTTTGTTCTTCAGTCTAGTTGTGGAGGATGTCGCTTCACCGGCCCATGTTGGTATTATCATTGCGCTCTTCCTGGGTGAGGCAGATCGGTCACCAGCCTCTGGACGGCCGCTCACGGCGGCTCTTGGCGGCTCACGCCAGCTGCCTGCCACTCATGCTGGCTGCCGGCCACACACGGTAGCTTTATGGCAGCCCACTGCAGCAGGGGCTGCAGCCTATGCCATCACCGGCAGCTCATGGCAGACCAGCTCCAGATCGAGCTGTTGTTCACCATCTTAGCTGTAGAGGGCAGTGTCACTGGCCCTCATGTGGGATCCAAACCAGGGCCCTGCTGCTCAGAACTGGTGTCCCAAGACAGCTCTTAACCAAAGCACCACTCGGCCAGCCCAAAACTATTTTCATAATAAAAAAAAAGATGCCATTTGATTTTTTTCTCTTGTATCCTTTTTTTGAGTGTATGGTGGCGTTTTCAAGAGGCTATATAAATGCCTGATATCACAACAGATCGAAGCAGATATGAGAAGGCAGCTCTTAAGCCAGACATTATTAGATTTGTAAAAACGAAAAACAATGCCACTCCTTTTTTTTTTTTTGCTTTGGAAACTTCATAAGTTAAAATGTTACTTATATGTGATGTGTTTTTTACTGCAATTTGGGGCAGATTTTTAAATGGAGATAAATTCACATAACATAAAACTTACCATTTTTAAGTGTACACTTCAATGTTTTTTAGTATATTCATTATGTTGTGCAACTATCACCACTGTCCAATTACGAAACATTTCCATTACATGGAGCCTTTCCGTTGTGATCACAAAATATGGTGAATTCTGCTGCCAAGTGCCATCCAACAGAAAGGCAGGGATCTTCAATACAGGAAGCGGTGCGTCGAACCTTAGTAACAGTGTGTGACAAGTTTCAACTTGTTCAGTGCAGTCAGTCAGGTGTGAGCTATGGTTGAGAGAAGGTGTGTTTTAAAGTGTGCCATTAATCATCTCCATCATGACAATGCTCCGTGCCACACATCGCTTCTGGTATACGGCAATTTCTGTCAAATAATAACATTACGGTGTGTCCTCATGCACCTTATTCACTGGATCTGGCACCATGCGACTTTGGGCTCTTCCCCAAAGTCTAAACCATTCAGGACATCCAGGCTGCCATAACAGTGCAGCTAGACACAATCACTAAAGAGGACTTCCAGAACGGCTTCAGAAAGTGGCAAAAATGATGGGATAAGTGTGTTCGAAGCGAGGAGGAGTATTTTGAGAAGGACTAAGGGCAATGTGTCCTTTACTATAATGAACTTTTCTTAATTTAAACATTCACCGTATATTTTTATCTCACCGTATATTGTGATCACACCTCTTACTAACAGCTGGTTAAACCTATAAGGCTTGGGACCTTGGGTGAAGCTATCTAAGTAACAGACCAAATGTGCCTTTACCGCTCACTCCCGACATGTTGAATGCCAAATTACAAAGTACTGAACATCCGAGCTGGTCTCCTTGGCACAGATATGCGACACATAAGGGGGCACATACGTACCTGGCTTCTGCATCTCACTTAGTGGCTTTGGGCTCAGCAAGAGGTTAGTACAACATGACTGTTCATGAGGCAGCAGGACTTACCAGACGCTAATGCACAAGTGACTGGCACTGAAGTCTAGTCCCTCAACCCATCCACATAACAACCACGCTCCACTGGCACACAAAACAACGTCTGAGGCAAGAAACTGTAGAAAGTAAAGATCATCAATGGAATTGTAATAGATGTATACAATGTCAGAGGGACAACAGATTAGGGGAGGGAGGTTATCACTTTGTGAGGGGTGAAATGTCTAATTACATTGTTTTGTACACCTGAAACTAATTTTTAAAAAAGAAAGTAAAAATGGCCACCAGACGTTTCCATGCAACATCTTATAATTACCTTTTCTGCCACGAAAATAGCGAAAACTATGCAGTTCACGGAAATTTTTGGATAAATCGATTAAATGCCTTCGATCACTCTCTGCTTGAATCGGACAAAACTTCGTAGTTATTGGAAAGGAAAAAACGAGACGAAAATTCTGCACTTAAGGCAAATCTACGCCTCGCAACTGGGCGGCGCTCAGCAGCTCCACCAACTACCACTGTCGCCGGCGCCTGGGGCTCCTGAGTTTGCGCCAGAGCGCCGGCCCTGACGTCAGGACTGGGTGGCCAACGTGAGCGCATGCGTCCTCCGCCGGGGAACCCTTTTTTCTCGCAGCGCTTTGAGGCAAGCCCTAGAGGGCGGATAGGTGCACGCCCAGAGGGGACTTCCGGCGGCGCGTGGCTGTGATTGGTGGAGCTGGAAGAGTGGGCGGGGCACCGGGAAATTCGAATGGGAAAGGCGGGTCAAAGGAGGGAGTGGAATGGACGCTGGGGGCCTGGCGCAACTGAGGCGACGCGAGATGGCGGCGGTTGCCTCAGGTGAGCGATCTCGGCTCGGGCGGGGTGCTGAGGTCTGGAGTCTCATCGGGTGATGCGTGGGAGTCTAGTCTAGGCCCCACCGGTTGTCCCGGCCAGGCCGGAGGGCCGTGGGGCCGCGGAGCCGCGGGAAGATGGGAGTGTAGGGGTCGCAAGCTGGTCGGCCCGCCTCGCTCTGTCCCTGCTTCTTGCTCTCGGCGCGGATCAGTACCTCGGGCTGAGACCCTGTTCCGGTCATAGAGCTGCGTGTGAGCCCAGCGCCCGTTTCCTCCGTGGGCTTCAGTTTCTTTGTCTGTGAAGTGGGTCGGTGACTGCTTCTCAGGAGATCACGTGAGTAGGCGAGCGAAAAGGGGTGAACGCTCTAAACGTAAGGACAGAAAGAAGGGAGCTGGATGCGCGTTTGGGGGAGTCCAGTGTATGACGTGTTGTTGGGGTGCGGGGGGTATCTCTGAGAGATGGAGGACAGGCCGAGGTCCAGACGGAGTGCCGCTGAGTGTGAGGTGACAGCAGAAGAGGTGCTGCGACCACAGAAAGGGGAAGTGAGGGGAAGCATCCTTTCATTCTAGCCCTGGGGGTCAATGCTATTTTAGGGGTGGAAAGGCAGTTAGGACGTGCAGTTTTGTCTGTGGGCATTTGTTTACATTTGTCTCCGCCCTCTTCCTAGAGACTGGCTTGTGAGCAGTGGTTATGGGGGGCACCGCAGTAATTTATTTGGGTCCCTTCCAATTTGTCAGGCTCTATGGAGAAACAGCTGTATAGTAGAATGTCAAATACATGTTGAGCCCCTGGCAGGGCACCGTTGTAAGCACTTTATGGTGATGAGTCATTTCATCTCCACATCATCCAATGAGGTGGTTTACTACTATTGTCCTTGTTTTACAGATCAGGAAACTGAGGCATGGATGGGTTAAATATTGAGGTCTGAATTCACATTCAGGCAGCCTGACTCTAGAGCCTCTGTTCTTAACCATTATGTCCAAGCACATGATATTACTGCTGTCTGAGCACAACCAGCTCTTACCCTTGGCAAGACCCACTGTGTCTGGTATGTAGTAGGTATGGTAAAAACGCTTGAATGAATGTGGTCCCTTCCCTAGAGTTGCTTATAGTCAGTTTCAGTAGATAGTCATAGAAACATACAAGGTCGGACAATTAAGTTCGCAAACCCATCCTATTAAAAGTGCTACATACCTCATTGCTGAATATCACTACAGTCACCTTTGAAGCCCTCCCCTTGGGAAGCTATGCACCAATGCCAGTGCCTAGTCCACCCTTCAAAGCAATTATTTATTTATTTATTTATTTATTTATTTATTTATTTATTTTTAAGCTGAGCCATCCTGCCACCTGTTGGCAGCTCAGCTGCTGCTCAGCTTGGGCCTTGCATCGAACCGCTGTTGTTCAGAGCTCAAACTCTTGAGCGAGCTCTTAACCAACTGAGCCACTCGGCCAGCCCTCAAAGCAATTTTGGAACTCTTTTTCTGGAATGGCCATCAGAGTTGTCGTTGTATTACCCTTGATGTCCTGAAGGTCATCAAAATGTTTCCCTTTCAATATTTCCTTTTCGGGTAAAGAAAGAAGTCATTGAGGGGCCAGATCAGATGAGTAGGGAGGGTGTTCCAATACCGTTATTTGTCTACTGGCTAAAAACTCCCTCACAGACAATGCCGTTTGAGCTGGTGCATTGTCATGACGCAAGAGCTATGAATTGTTGGCGAAAAGTTCAGGTTGTTTTTGTCTACCTCTTTCACGCAGCCTTTTCAGCACTTCCAAATAGTAGACTTGGTTGACTGTTTGTCCAGTTGGTACAAATTCATAATGAATGATCCCTCTTATATCAAAAAAGGTTAGCAACATCGTCCCAACAAGTTTGTGAACTTAATTGTCCAACCTTCATATAATATGAAAAGCAACGAGAGATATGTATAAACTGCTATAGAGAGTACAGCATCTGAAGTAAACCATTGTGTATTCTGGGAACACTTTATTATGGAAGTGATATTTGAGGTGCGTTTCACAGGTTGGATAGGAGTTTGTCAGACCTTGGCAGGGCAAAAAGACTACCAGTTGATTTTTTTATTTATGATGTAAAACGAGGCCAAAGATGTTCTCTTTGGCTCAATTTCCTCATCATATCAGAGAGAAGAATTAAGTTGAATGAAACATGGGAATTGTGGGAGAGGGGAAAATTAGAAGAAATAAGTACTCGTCTCGCTCAACCTCAAAGTTGCTTTTATGATGAAAGGGAGAGAGACTCATGTCCTGTAAGCAGTTGTTTACATGCCTCTCCTTCCCTCCTCTCCTGGAATGTGAGCTCTGGGGCAAGAATGGCAGTGAGCCACTTTTAAGATGAAAACAAGAAACAAACAAGTAAATGTTTTATGTTACTTTGCTCACCAAATCTTAATTTGTTCAGCAAATACTTATAGGGAGCCGACTCTGTCAGGCATTGGGGATATAAAGGTGAGCAGAGTAAGATTTGGTTTCACTGAGCTCACAGTTAGATGGAAAAGATAGACAAATATGCAGTTAATAGTGCAGTGTGATTGGTTCTTGGATGGAGGAGCTACAGAGAGCGATGTGTGCCCCTAACAGCCTTCGTGGGGACAGTAAGGTGTGTTTACCTCAGTCACTTGGGGGGTGGGTGGGGTAAAGAAGGTATTCTGGAGAAAGAGATTAGCATGTGCAAAGACCCTTGGTGTGAGAGAACTTTGTGTGTTGTAGGAACTGAAGGAGCTTATGGTGTAAGGAAGGAAGTGGAGAGAGAATGATTGGAAGGGAGTGAGACTGGAGTCAGGGAGACCAGGTGGGAGACTGTTGAGATGATGATTATGACCTTGACAAAGATTGTGCAGTGGGGATAGAGAAGTGGACTCATTTAAAAAGGTAGAATTGACAGAGTTAATGAATAACTAATGTGGGAGGTGAGAGAGAAGGTAGAGTTAAAGATTCCCATCTTCAGGGTTGGTTCCCTTCATTTATGTTAGGAGAATGAGGTTTCAGAGAGATGGGGAAGGTGTCAGTTTAGGATGGGTAGAATTTGAAGTACCTGCCAACCGTGTAAGAGAAGGTGTCAGGGCAGCAGCTGGGAATGTCCGTCCAAAGGAGAGAGAGCTCTGGTGTGGAGGTGTCAATTAGGAGTCATCTGCTTTTAGGGGGTAATTAAAGCCAAGAGAGCACGGTGACCATGCCCATGAAATGAATCTGAGTAGTGGTTCTCAGCTCAGGGCAGTTTTGTTCCCCAGGGAGACAGTTGTCTGGAGACATTTTTGGTTGTGACAATTAGAGGAGAGGTGGTACGGGATGCTACTGGCATATATGTTTAGCACATGCTAACGATCCTACAGTGCACCGGTCCGCCCCACAAGGATCTTCTGGCCCAAAGGTCAATAGTACCCAAACTGAGCAACCCTGGTCTAAAGAGAGGATAGAAAGAGCCTAGGAAGAACATTTAAGAATGGCTGAAACTGAGGAGGGGTGAACAGAGAGCTAGTGGGTGGCATGGAAACTAAGGGAAAAGTATATTTCCCAAAGGAATGTAGACCAAGGGTGTTGAATACTGCTGGAAAGTCAAATAGGGTGGGGACTGAGCATGTCTACTGGATTTAGCATTAAGGAGGTCCTTGGTGACCCTGCTGAACGGTAAGGGCAGAAGTTAGGTGCTGCCGTGAGGCGTGAGCATCAAGAAAAGAGTGTAATAATAAAATAGCTACCATTTACCGAGTACTTGCTGCCAGCACTGTGCTAAACATTGGAGGACGTACGTTGTTTCTTTGACTCCTTACAATCTTATGCGGGTACTGTAGTTATTTTTACATATATGTTGAGATACTGTTATTTTTATAAAGAGAAACTGAAGCTTGAAGACATTAAGAAGCCTTCCCAAGGTCACGCAGCTGATAGGTAGAGCTTGACTCAGACTCCAAGGTCCACGAGGATACAAAGATGAAGGGGCTGAGAAGGCCTGTGGATTCATATAAGGAACCTTGGAGTTAGACCTATATTTGAAGCTCTGTCACTAGCTAACTCTTGACCATGGGCAAGTTAACTAGCCTCGCTATACTGAGGTTTCCTCATTTGGAAAATGGGGGATGAATATGAAATAAAACATGTACTAAGTCTTTATCGAATACCAATGCTGTTCTAAGCTCTTTTACATGAATTACCTTATTTCCTGCCTTAACAACCCAACGAGTAGGTATTTTTATGTATTCCCATTTTACTGGTGTGGAAATTGAGGCACAGGAATAGAAAATCATTTCCCTAGATATTTAGTTAGCTTTAAGTGGCAGAGTTGGGATTTGAACCCTGTCTGTCTTTCTTTTTATTTTTAAGATTTTTATTGGGGAGTTGGGGGAAGGGGAACAGACAAGTTGCTGTCCTTTTGTTCTTCAGTCTAGTTGTGGAGGACGTTGCTTCACTGGCCAAAGTTGGCACCATCATTGCGCTTTTCCCGGGCGAGGCAGATCAGTTGCCAGCTTCTGGACAGCTGCTCACGGT